AGCTCTGCCCCACACAGTTTGTGCTTTCTTCTTCAGAGTCAACCACGCACATATCACTACTTAATTTGGGGGGAGGGGGAGGTACTGGGGATTGAACCCAGGGGCACTCGACCACTGAGCCCCATCCCCAGCCCTATTTTGTATTTTATTTAGAGACAGAGTCTCCCTGAGTTGCTTAGGGCTTTGCTGTGGCTGAGGCTGGCTTTGAACTCGAGATCCTCCCGCCTCAGACTCCTGAACCACTGGGATTAGAGGCTTGAGCCACTGCACCCAACTATCTGTTTCTTTTTCTCTCTCCAAAGACACAGAGAGGACAAAGACACATATTCTTCAGAGACATTTAAGAATAAGTTGCAGGGCTGGGCTGTGGCTCAGTGGTAAAGCGGTCACCTAGCCTGCATGAGGCAATGCGTGGTCTGCCCTCCGTACTGGGCAGAGGCAGCTGCTATGGCTCCCAGTCAGCCCTGCGATCATGCAGGGCAACCAACCAACCCTCCATTGTGCGCTGTGCTGCTAAACTGTGCTGACTGACAGTTTTACCTATGGCCTTGTCGACTTACCATGAGCCTATTGGGTTGTAACCCCATTGCTAGTCAAGGATCATCTCTGTCAGTTATCTATTGCTGCATAACAAACAGCCCCATATCACAAGGGCATAATCACAATATCAGCTTTCTATGGTTCATGGTTCTGGGAGCCTGAGGCTCAGGCAGGGCTCAGCTGGAAGCCCTTCTGCTTCACACAGAATCATCCAAGTTTCCTCTTGGGGCTGGGGCCGCAGTGGAAGCTCCAAGATGCCCTCACTTACCCAGCTGGTGTGGTCCATCACGGGGTGGGGGTGGGGGGTGTCTGGGTCTCTCCCTGAGGCCTTTCCACCAGGTTGGCTTAGGCTTCTGGACATGGTGGCTGATTCCAAGAAGGTGAAAATCGAAGCCACAAGACCTCCTGAAAGCCTCAAAGTCTCCTGACTCCAATTCTGTGCATCCTGTTGCTAAAAGCCAGGCAGAGGGCAGCCCAGATTCGGCCAGAGAGCAAAGAGCCTTCCTCTGGATGAGCTGCGGGGCCAGGTCCCTGGCAGAAGAGCATGTGAGATGGGATCTTAGAAAACAACCCACCTCTGGAAATAGGCTACCCTGTTGGCTACGGAGCACCCAGGGCTCTCTGCTCCCACCCAGAACGCGCCAGAGCGCCTCAAACCAACAACTGGGCACTCAGCTTTGGCTACGGTGCCCTTCCCAGAGGAGCACATCAGCCACCAGGCCCCACAGATTTCCCCTCTCGTTCCTTTTCAAAGTCGATTCTTAGGTGCCTGTCACACTTTGCCATTATACATATATAATATAATATATCTATATATATATATTACAAGGACACAGGGAGAAAGGGGGGCCGGTCCTCTGGGAATCTTGGAGTTGGGGAGGAGGGCACAGCTTGTATTCAGGTAGATGCAGGGTTTGGACTCCACCAGGCGCTGATTTAATCGCTATTTGATAGCCAGACTCCATTTCTTTGAATGCAACTAAACCCATAGAAGCAGCCCCGTGGAAATGGATGACTTGATTGTGTAACATCTTTTTACACTCACACACACGTGCACAGTCATGGGGAGGGTGCATTAAAATGCACCCTAACTAAGGAGGCCTTCTTGAAGGTCTTTACATAATTAGAACCTTCATCCAAGTGATGGCTATGCCCCGTAATCCCAGGGACTTGGAGGCTGGGGCAGGAGGATAGCAAATTGGAGGCCAAGCTTAGGAGATCTTGTCTCAAAATAAAATTTTAAAAGGGTAGGGGTGGGCTGGGGGTGTAGCACAGTTGTAAAACACCCCTGGGAAGGGAGGGAGGGGCGGGCAGCGCCAGCGCTTTCTGGGGCTGCAGTGGTCAATGGTTTCCTTGAATCCCTGAGGCCCTGGGTTCCATTTCCAGGGGACTCCACCTGGTAAACCCTGGGTGACAGGTGACATCAGATGACAACAGCACCTGATCCTTCCCTCTGGCTTATCTGTTGGCGACTGCACCTCCCCTGCGGGCAGCGAGGAGTCTCCAACGTCCTGCCCCACCCATTGAGGACCCCTTTGGGGACCCTGCACAACACCCGGCCCTTGGGTGCCCTTTTCCTCCTTCCTTGGATTCCATCCCTGGGGCTCCCTTGCCCTGCCTGGGGGTGAACCGGGGAGTTCAGTCCCCAACTGCCAGGGGCCAGACCCCAGCTGCCCGCACCCCCTACCCCCACCCCCCAGGGTAGATGTGAAAACGCTGATAGAACTAGTTTACCCCGAGGCCCTGGGCACTCTGCGAGGCAGATTTGCATTTTTAAAGACCCGCTGTGGAGCTAGGGCCCTGCTAACCTCACTAACTCTGAGGAGAATGTGGCCACTGGGCCCCAAAGCTAGAGAGAGAGTTCCCCAATCAAGGGTAGAGGCAGGCTCCTGGTCCCACGGAGGCCAGTACTGTCCCCCCTTGTTATTGATTTCTACATAAAAGCCAGGTGAGGCGGTCCTCGCTGGGGGAGGCTGAGGCACGAGGATCAAGTTCGAGGCTGGCTTCAGTAACTTTGCAATGACCCTATCTCCAAATAAAAAATAAAAAGGACTGAGGATGTAGCTCAGTGGTAGAGCACCTCTGGGTTCGACTCCTATTACTTCAGTAAATAAATACGTCTGCAGAGCTCTTCTCTGCACAGAGCTGGACAGAGACCCAGGCTCAGAGAGGAAAGCAAATAACTTTCACAATACCCATTATGTCACCAAGCCCCAGGAGAAGGCATCCCAGTGACCTCTATTTTGCAAATAAGGAAACCCCAGCTCAGAGAGGTTAAGTGAGTTGCAGGAGAACACAGAGCCACCACAGGATGCAGAGCTGGGATCCAGACCTGGTCTGTGCCACTCCAAAGCCAGTGTTCTTTCTGGAATCTTCTCCTCTGCATCTTTCCCTCCAGCAGAGGTTGTGAGGTGCGTTCAGAGGAAAGGAATGTCTGACATTCCAAGCTCTCCCTAAACTCCCCCAGAAGCCCCTGAGGGATTTTGACTCAGCCTCCTGGCCCCCAGCCTGTCTCCCTCCTCCCCGTAGATAAACCAGCTCTCGGCCTTCATTGAATTTACCTAGCTCACCCTTCTCAGCACTTTAGCATTCACTGGAAATCCCTCTGTATTCCCTCTGTCTTGAAAACAGAAATTCCCTTCATTTCCATAACGATCTAGATCGGATGTTTCCCTGACCCTAAGAGTCTCATTGCCTCAATGTTTTCCCCCGTAAAGTGAGGTTGCCATGAATCCTTGAACAGGTTGGGTACTGCACAACTCCAGGGGCACCATTCTCATAGACCACACTGACCTTGTCTAGCTGTTCCTTGATCAGAATTGTGCTCATACCAATTTATGGCTGCAAACGGAGGAGCAGGTCCTAACCATCACCACACCCAGTGCCTCACATAGGTGAGAGTTGGGGATGTAGTACTGCACTGGCCCAGTGTGCATGGGGTCATGGGTTCAATCCCCAGCTGCAGAAAACAAATGAATAAAAAAAACATTAATAAATATCTGATAAATGAAGGAATGAATCCTACTAAGTCTGATCAGAATGTACAGAAACTGCAACACCCCTTCCCACAAGCGGAGTTCATCCCTCTTCCAGCAGAGCTCCCCAGGGCAAAAGCCCATCTGGAGTTCCCCTCTGGGGATTTCCTTTGGAGCCAGGTTCCAACCCACACAAGGACCCTTACTAGTTATTTCCTAACCACAGATAGTTTCTCACCTCAAGTGTTCCAGCCACCTCCCTCTCTCACTGTAATCACCTTACCAAGGTCTGTTTCACCTTCCGGTCTGTTCAAAAATCGAGTTTGCTCTCCAAGCCAGGTGCGGTGGTGCACACCTGTAATCCTAGTGGCTCAGGAGGCTGAGGCAAGAGGATCAAAAGGTTAAGGCCAGCCTCAACAACTTAGATCCTGACCAACCCTTCAAGACCAGGGCTAGGGTTGTGGCTCAGTGGTTAAGCTCTGGAGACAAAAAAATAAAAAATAAAAACGTTTTGTTCTCCAAAAAAAAAAAAAGGACCTGCCACACGGAGCAGAGCCACCAAAGGCTGATCCCACAGACTCCAGAACACGCTTTTGCAATGACAGCGGGGCTGGCCAAGGACCTGGCCTCCTGGGGAGCTGCTGGAAGGACCCCAGTCACTTGGCTATATATATCCAGATGGTAGGTTTTACTCTCAATCCCGGGGTCACCCTTGGAAGGCACTGACATCAACTGAGCTTTCGAGAGCTGCTGTGTTTGTTTTTGTCATTGAGCTGGGTGCTGGGTGCTAAGTGCTGAGTGCTGAGTGCTAAGTGCTGGGGGTGAAACCAGGGCTTCTACCACTGAGATGCACCCCTGCTAACCATCAGGCAGGATGGGTCCCACTGTCCCCATCTCCCAGATAAGGCTACTGAGGCGGGAGAGCCAAGCCTCTGGGGAGCTGAGACGTGGACTCAGGTCTGGGAGCCTTGGGCGCTGATGTGTTTTTCACCCAAGCGCACCCTGGGTTTGCCCTCGGGACACTATCTCTTGCCCTGTTTTGCAATCCTGGAAGCTGAGAATCTGGATCTCGTGCGATTCCCCCTTCAGGGTAATGGTGGCTGTTCCACTCTGAGGCCAGCAGGATGGCCCAGCGTCCGCCCCACCCCCACCCCCACCGGACCCTCTTCTAACGAGGCTCATGTGCATCAGTCTCTCCAAGGTGTTGGTTCCTCCTGGTAACCAGGGGTGCCCAGGTCTCAGGCTGGGTCAGGGGAGCTGTCACTAATCACAAACCAAGGATCAGAACTTGGGCCACATTAGCCCTGGGCTCTAAACAGGTACGTTTTTTGTTTTTTTTTTTTTTTTTTTTCTGATAGAGCCCATAATTCTTCACCCTTGTATAGTTTATTCAAGAGTATGGGCCACCATGGAACCCCTTATTCTGCATAATAGGCACTAATGAATTGATACGTACTCATAAAAATATAAAGGGTAAAAGAGTACTGGCCACACCACGTTAGAGATGAGTCTTCATTTTTGATTGATTTCTGCCCTAGTTTGGTCCTTGTTATGATTTCATTGTGACCCCCAAATCACCAAGGCAACGGTGTTCTAAGGTGACAAGTGACAACGGTCGTGAGGGTTCTGCCATTAGGAAGGGGTTAGTGCAGGGTTTAAAAAGGCTTGTGGCCGAGCTTCAGTTCTCTCCCTCTCTCTCCTTCTTTCTCTCTTTTTCTGTCTCCCCCCCACATGGGTGCCTAAACATGTGCCCTTCTGCCTTCCACCATGTAATGATGCGGCAAGAAGTCCCTCGCCAGATGCAGGGCTCTTGACGTTGGACTCCCAAAGTGTAAGAAATAAGTTTTCTGTTTTTATAAACTACCTCGTCTATGGCATTTTGTTACAGCAACGCAAAAGGGGCTAAGACAGTCCTCCATGTCCAGTACACTTTGAAGACACCAAAGATTGAAGACTCAGACCACATTTAGCACTATGACAAGCTGGGCTCCTTCATAGTCTGGAAGCGAGGTCAGCAATCTACAGCCCGTGGGCCAAATCTGGACAGCCATTTGTTTTTGTAAATAGAGTTTTATTAGAATATACAGCCCATTTGAGGACATATCATCTATGGCTGTTTTCATGACCCTCTGACCCTTGACAGAAAAACACGCACCACCTCCAATCTACAGACACTGGATATTCTTTCCAACCACCCCAACCTGGGAGCCCCCTTCTTTTAACTGAGGAATCTCCTGTCTAATAAAGCAGGGCTCACTGCCCACTCTAGAAGCTGACATGCAGATAAAATTCACCAATTTATTGAATTCTGGCCCAAAAGATGGCTACCCGCCACCTGCCAGTAACTGGAACCTGAGAATGGGGCCTTATTTGAAAACAGGGGGCGTCTGTAGATGTAAGTAGGTTTAGGATTTCAAGATGAAATTGTCCCGGATCTTCCCAGTGGACTCTAACCCTAAAGACAAGTGTCCTTAGAAGAGACACACAAAAGACAGACCAGAGGGAAGAGAGGAAGGCCACAGGAAGATAAGAGCAGAGATTGGCTTGCTGCAGCTCCAGACACAGGCATCCACCAAAAGGTGGAGGAGGAAGGAAAATCCTTCTCCAAAGACTCTGGGAATGCAGCCCGGCTGCACCTTGATTTTGTACTTTTGGCTTCCAGGACTGTGAGAGTCAAAGAAACCGCCTTTAAACCACTGCCTGGGGGTTGTTCGTTATAGCAGCTACAGGAAACACACACACACACACACACACACACACACTCCCAGCTTCCCTTGCAGCTAGGGCACCGACAGAGCTCTACCAAACAGATGCCCCTTCCTGGGTTAAGTGGAAGCCAATGATGGGAAGGACGCGGTGGCACATGCCAGTAATCCCAGCAGCTCCAGCGGCTGAGCCAGGATAAATGCAATTTGGAGGCCAGCCTCAGCAACTTAGCGAGGCCATGTGCAACTTATCAAGACCCTGTCTCAAAATAAAGTTAAAAAAATTAAAAAGGGCTGGGGATGTGGCTCAGGGGTTAAATGCCCTTGGACTCAATCCCCAGTGCCAAAAAAAGAGAGCTAATGGTGGGTAGCCCCAGCTCTTCTCCATGCTGGGGGTGGAGTGGCGGCAACAGGTCCACAGATGTCAGTGGCTGCAGCATTACTGGCATCAACCAGTGTCCAGAATCCTTGGGGACGAGGGAGCATGTGCCAGAGGCACCAGCAGTGGCATCTTCCCTTGGGGGTGACTTGGGGGTTGCTCCTGGCTGCTCTTCTCCTAGTGCGATGGGCCGGCTGGGAACTCGGCCAGCTGCTGTCCAGCCTCTGGGCACCGCTCCCTTGAGCGACCAGCCCCACAGTCATGTGCTGTCTTCAGGGAGCGCTGGAGGGAAGAGCCCTGGGTCGGCGTCTCTTCCCAACACCTCCTCTCGGAAGCAAAGCATCACATTTTACTTCCAATCGGAGGTGATGGGTGTGTTTTCACCAAGAAAATTGGCATCTGCTGCAAATCAGGGCCGTTTGTGTCCTAAGAGCCCATCCTGCAGCACTCCACAGGTGGCTTACAATTAAAAACTGGTGGATAGCGACGGAGATCTCACTTCTTCCTGGATAAGGAAGCCTTCAGACTCCTCTTTCTACAGATGAGGAAACTAAAAGAGATGAAGCGAGCGATTGCTCAGAATCGTAAATCCAGGAGGTGATAAATCAGGGAACCAAACTCCATGCACAGCCTCTCAATCAAAAATAAGGCGAATGACTCTCTCTCTCTCTCTCTCTCTCTCTCTCTCTCTCTCTCTCTCTCTCTC